CAAGTGTCTTTTAATTTCATGGCTGCGGTGATCTTGAAGCTCAAATAAATGAAGTCTGTTACTGCTTCCATTTTTATCCCTTCTATTTGCCAGGATGGGTCCAGAACATAGCATCATAGCTTAAAAAAAAACAACTAAACATAGTTAAAATAGATCAAAGTTTGCATGTGGTATGAATGTAGCTTCTAAATTTTTAACTGTCTTAATTGCTGTATAAACCTAAACATTCTGTGCATAGCTAATGATTTCTATCTACTGTAAGATTAACAGCTTACAATTTGGTGGCCAACTTTTGGATGGGTTGGGTGGGTGGGCTTGCCTGCTGTCTTAAATTAATGCAATACATCTGGAACTTCCTGTACCACAAGCTTCTTTAAAGCAAACAAAAAACCCAGCTTTCCCTGATTTGGGTTAGACTGGCCTCCTTCCTTTCCAGAAGAGCCTAAGTGCTGCATCTGCTGGTTTTCTTTCCCATAATGCTGCACTCCGACACTATCCTACAAAAGGCATTATGGGAATTTAGAAGGGTAGCTCCTTGGCCATGTTTGTGGCATTGCTAGTGGAGCAAGGTGGAAGGAAAAGCATGAGAAGCCCTTGTTCCTGTGCGTGGTGAAGAGCAACAAAAGGCTATTAGGGAAACAGAAAGACAAATGCCAGGCCTGCATTTTTGCCTGTTTTCTCTTTCAGAGTGAAGGTAAAAATGTCACTACAGGTGGTCCTCGGGTTATGACCACTTGTTCAATGACCATTCAAACTTGCGATGACGCTGAATGAGGGGACTTATGATGGGTCCTTGGGTTCTGGCTGTTGCAGTGTCCCCGCAGTCACATGATCGCAATTGGGTCCTTCAGCAGGCAGCTCGCAATTACAACATTGCAGCAAGTTGGGGTCACGTGATCACAATTTCTGACGTTCCCTGCCAGTTTCCCACAATGGGGAAGCCGTCAGCAAGTTGAAAGTTGCGATCACGTGAGGTCCTCACTTAACGACCCATCCTTTCCTCACTTAACAATGGCAACTGGGGTTGCCAGAACTGCTGTCACTAAGTGACACAGTCACATGATGTTGCACTTTACTTAGTGATGGCAATTCCTGTTCCAATTGCTGTTGTAACCCGAGGATTATCTGTAGTATTTTTGAAAGGGAGTTGAAAGTGTTTATAATACTGTACTTAACAATATGTTGGGTCAAAGAGAAGCAGCATACTCCCTCTAGTGGCCCAAAGAGGGTTTTTTTAAAATCTAAATCCTGGCTCTTCTGAAACTATACATACTTGCATTTTTTTCTCAATCTACCCTCCCTCCCTCCCTCCCTTCTGCTATCATTTTAGCTGTTTCCTCTAATTTGATTGAAAAGCACCCTGTCCCCCAGCCAGCAATTCCCGATGTGGATGGGCTTGACCTAATAACCAAATTGGACTCAGTTTCTGGATTTATGCAGAACTCTTCCAAACAGGCTACATCTGCATAATATGCTGTGCTTCCTTTCTTCCTAAGCAGCCAGGATTAATCCCCCAACTACACCTGCTGCTAGGCTTTATCTGGCATCTTCAGATATGCTGGGGCTATGCATAGGATCATCCAGCGCAGATTAGAGCCCTACATGGAAAAGAAGATGCCAAATGTTCAATCTGGCTTTAGAAAAGGCTGAGGAATGTGAGACATTATTGCTGATGCATGCTGGATAATTGAGAAAGCCAAAAAGAAGTCACTGTGTGCTTCATTGATTATAGAAAGGCCTTTGATTGTGCCAATGTTGTCAAGCTGTGGAATGTGCTAAAAAAATGGGAATCCCAGGACATCTCATTGTCCTCATGAGTAACTTATATACAGGTCAGGAAGCCACAGTATGGACAGAACATGGTGAAACAGACTGGCTCCAGGT